ACTAAAATAAAGGACGTGAAATGATTCATAGCACTTGTATGGGGAACAGATTCTGGTTTTGTTTTTGCTTTTGCTTTTCATTTTGAGTCTTTTCAGACTCAGTTTTAAAAACAAATCAAGCCCATTCTCTTCTCTTCCTCCTGGTGACAGGTTGCCCAGATGCCTGTCTGGGTCAAGGGGACACTGCTGCATTCTATTTTACCATCTGGTATCACCCAGCTCTGCAGATTTTTTAACCTCTTAATTCCCAATTTTATTCTTTGTACATCCCATCGTTTCCCCATATTTGCTTTCCTGAGCTTTTCAACATAATTTCCATCAAATCCAAACACTCAGCATCCTGTATGTCAGGCTAGTTTCTAAGCAAAAAGAGGAAAATATTTCCCCTCCCGAGCTTGCAGAAGATCAAGTGTCCCCAGCTCCAGGTCAGAGCTAACAGAGCTAATCTTCAACAAAAACATATTCCAGGGATAGGCAAGAGGGTTCAAGTTCACCAAACCAGTTCACTAAAGCCAGATTCAGGGGCTCACTGCTAAAGCTCCTTGGTGTTTACAGTCTCAGGCTGTCACTTTGATCTATCTCCTCTCAGAGTGTGTGCCTCGCACCCTGCTGCCAAAGCCACAGCCGCAGCCGCTCACAGGGGCGGTGGCCGTTTCCACACTCCACGTTCCTGGATGCTACGAGTGCTTTTGCCGCACAACTCGTCCTACAGACCTACATAAGCCAGGGAGAAAGAAGGCAGAGTCGGGCAGAAGAACTGCCAAAGAGGTGAACACCGTCTGAGGTAGAGCAATCCCTGCACCTCAGGTCCAAACTTGTCCTCTTGGTGTGAGAAACTCGGGACATGGAAGGAAGCCTCCAAAATTGGTGACTTTTGAGTTGTTCATAAGTGTCCTGCCCCTCCCCGAAGCACAGGTTTCCTTGAAGAACAGCAAGTTCCCCACAAAAATGACAAGTGGTTTCCAGGGAAAACTTTGGAACTGGGTGAAGTCTCACTTTCAATTTCAGACTACGGGTTTTTTTTGTTTAGTTTGGGGCTAATGAGTGTTTTCTCTTGAGACACTGCCATGCTCAGTCACTTTTCCAAAGAGGTGGTGAAAAATGTTGAAGGAAAAATTTCCTCTTCTGCCCTCGGGTTTTACTTTGCCCAGCTCTGAAGACAGGCCTGTACTGCACACTTTTGCCACCACAGTTACATCAGCTCTACCACCTCCAGAAATAAAGACATTTAAGCCAAGAAAAGCAATCTCACACTGATGAAGACTGCACCTCCTCTAGGAAGCTCTGCAGGTCGCTTCCTAAGTCAGAGACATTGCTTTCCGACCGCCAAGCCTCGGGCTCACGCCTCTGAACCGCTACGGGGAAGTCACTTATTTTTTCTCCGTCTCAGTCCCTATCTGCACGATAGCTGTGTACACATCCGTGTTGAGAGGGATATACGGCTATGTTCTGGAGAAACGGCGAGAAATGCTACGTGGGGCGTGGGCTGCCTCGTAAGCCACGAGCACACGTACAGCACCAAGCGCAGGGGCGGCAAGCTCAGCTGCAGGAGCAGGACAGATAGCAGGTGCTGCCAGAAGTGTTGGCAGCATCACGCCCTTAGCAAAGCTGAGAAGTTAATTAAATAGCAGGAAAGGAAAGGACCATTTAAAGAGCTGAGTCTGATGACTAAAGGTCTTAGTCACTCATTTACAAAGATCTTAGGCAAAAGCTCCTTTTAAAATAATTTTTGTCTGGATCACGTTCCTTTAAGAAATTTCTCAAATGATCCAGCAAGAACTACTGGGAGACGTCACTCTCATTCCCTGACACTTTCAGTGTTTGTGACAGCTGCCACCTCCTCTCTTCGCCTGCAGCGTGCTCTTAGGCTGAGCATCTCACCTAGCACAGGACTATGAGAGCTGCTAGAGCAGAATGACTTTTGTCCTGCAGAAACTGAAAATTTTCTCCCAAAAATGTTAGGTTGAAACTGCTCAGTGTTTCAGTAGGAACCTTCTCCAAACACATCTTCTTATTTCATTCAGGAAAGAAAAAGCTCGTAACATTTCAGAAAGAAACAAAAACCAAGGGCAGAAGACTCCCCGGGGAGGTTATTTCAGAAGGTTATTTCACATTTTAAGAAATACTTAAAACATTGAGCCGTCCCGTCACACAATGTGGTAGCTATGGCCATGTAAGAGCACGCTGCACTTAGGGATCAGTGGTTTGGTTTCCCATGGTGCCATTCGTACCAGAAATGCCCTGTTACATTTTTTAATATGTGGGTTTTTTCTCAGCGGGATCACTCATCCTCCCAAGCTCAGAGAACTCCGCGTGCACACTTCTGCCAGAACAGCTACGTGGGTGGGGTAAGAGCAAAAGGAAGGAGCTGGGGTGACAGCACTTGATGCTGCCTATTGCCTCCAACAGTTTCATAAAATCAAACCACAGCCCAAACGGTGCCTTCCTCACAAGATCAAGGCTCTATTTCCTGCAGTGCCCCTCCTCAAGAAAGGAAGATACCAGTCAGCCTGACTCAGAAAGGTTGCAGGGTTTGCCCTCGTGGTCTGAATCACTTGTTGCATGCAAAGAGGCGAGAGGTGGCAAATGGAGGGGTCCCCCAAGTATCCTCGGTATTACAGCAGCCTGCAAACCCCCCCCTAGAGATGAGGCATTGTGCTAAGGAAGGACAACCCCGGCCCAATAGGAGTACAACAGTGGGAGGACGTAGGCACAGCAGCATCGTCCGCCCAGCGATGCAGAGCGTTGTCAAGCCCAGTCCTCTGAGCCACGGGCATCCCTGCCCGCCCTCCTGAAGCCATCACACGCCAGAGGACCCCGCAGCAGGCTCCTGGGCGCTTCCCACCCTCCACACACGTGGATGAGTCTCACTCCGGCTAGCACCCAGTCCGCTGCCCGCCTTGGCACCCGAGAGACAAAGAGCGGTGGGAGAGGAGAGCGAAACTCCGGTGTGTGCGGGGCGAAGCCGGTGCCCGCCATCGGAGGATGCTGGTGGAAACAACTGCTGGAGGCCAGCGCGCAGGAGGCTGCGCGGCAGCGCAGAGGTGCAAGGAGTTCTGGGGAAGCTTGCCAAGTTTTTCGGTTGGTCTAAGAGGAGATCCTGTCGCTCGGAGGAACAAGGGTGTTTTGTTTGATAGGCAGCGACACCTCGTGGCACAGAACCTCGCCCCCCCCCCTCCCCGGATTGCTGCCAACAGGACACTGGTTTGTCCTGGGACAGGTTCTCAAATCAGGGGGAGTTTTCCCACAGAGTCCGGTGGAGCCCAGATTTCAGGGTAGATGTTTCACAGGAAACGATGATGATGATGATGATGATGATAAGATTCACCTCTTGCAAACGCTGACTAAAAAATCCTTATGTCATCTTTAAGAGAAGCTGCCTGAGGGCTCTTAGCAAGACCTGAATGAGACTGGCCCAAGAATTGCTTCTTATTTCATTCAGGGTGCTGCAGGAAGCAAAAGGGTTTTTTTTTTTTTTTTTTTGCATGAGAAAGTCAAACTTCAAAGAAATTAAACAGAGGTAGCAAAACAGCCAAGGAACAAGAAAAGTACTGGTTACAGAAGCCCATGGTAAGAAGAAATGGAGATTTTTGGAGAAAGTTGTGACTGAAGAAACTAGTCACTGCATCTGTTCCCACTGCTTGAATCGTACCGTCTTCAGGAAAAGGAGATATTTGACAACTTCGTGCTAAACATACAAGCTTTTGTCAATACAAACCCAGCTCCATCGGCTCTTCTCCCACTTAGTAGCCAGCACCTAACACTCATAGGCAGAGCAGCGGGCTGGCTGCTGAGCTTGGTGAGTTTTCCATCCGGGGAAGAGCCAGAAAAGCCTCTTTTCTCCATGCCGGTGTTATCTTCTATGGGGTAACTTCAGTGAACCATTTCCTCTCCTCATGCCACAGGCCTGGAGGTGATTGTGATGGGAAGAGCAGGAGAGGAGATGTGCCAACCAAACAGCACGACTGACCCGGCTATTTTTGCCCCCCTATTTTTTCCCCTCTGCCCGGGTCACCATGGCACAGCTGTTCCAAGCACATACACCTGGCACATGGTACTTGGTAGCTCACGGCTGAACCAGGATGTTTGCTGCTGTGTTTCTGATACACATAGAACAAAACCACTGTCTCTGTTTGCTTTAGGAAGATGTGAGGCTGTAACACAGAGCAGCAACTGGTTTGTTTGTTTGTTTTTTTTTTTTTTTCTCTGGAGTTTAAAGGTACCGTGCGCTGAAAACACAAACACCCTGAGAGTTTCACAGCTGCAAAGCCAAGGCCAACAGCCGATGTGTTCATCGATGAGGCAGTGCAGGGGCAAAGAACCATCCGTGTGTCGGCACAGCCCTGGCAACTGGTTCTGATTTTGACCGCTGCTTTGGGGTCGATGACAAATTATTGGTGATAACTAAGGTATAAGGGAATTGCAGCACGGGCAGTCAACAAACCCACAGGATTTATCGGGAGGATCCATGTTCTTTCGTTTGCCCACACTGTGTATGGGACAGATCCCTGTCCTGTTTCTGCACTTTGCTTCCCCCACCTGTAAGGTGGAGCAATTCCCCAACTTCTGAAAAACATCCTCAACCTGGCAACATAAGGGGAAATCCTTAATCTCTCGTAAACCCAAGACCATCATAGTATCACATCCTACTGGCTGATTACTGGTCTTTATTATTGCTAGGTTCTCATGCAGTAAAACCTTATTTGAATTCTATTAATATTTCACACAGGTAAATTCCAAAGGTCAATTTTTTAATGAGCTCCCTCAACAAGATAAAGCTCGCACTGTTTCACCCCGTTCCTCTTGCACATAGCCTGGGCCAGACATCAGTTACGTTACACTGGAGGGCGCAGCACTGCAATCTTTACATGATTTTTTTTTTTTTAACCAAAAGCACTCCCACGTCTTCCGCTGCCCCGTTCAACATTCAGCACTACATCTGGGCCGTACCGGGAAGTGAGGTTGCACGCACGCTCTTTCGGAATTCACGCAACCTTAATACAGGAAAACAACATGATGAAAAGGTAGCAAGGAAAGAAATATTTTACAAGCGCAAAAAAAATTCTGCTTTGGCATGTCTACCTGGAGACTCAGAGTCCTGATGGCATTGTGCTTCTTGCGGCAGACTAGAGGTAAGGTACAGCTGTATTTCTGTGACTTTTCATTTCGCTGTGCTGTGAGGGTTTGCTTGTGGGAGGGAAGCCATGTCCAAGGAAATTTTAAGCAGTTTAAAGTGGGAATGATTCACATAAGGTAAAACGCTCCATTGTAAAGAAATTGGCAATTTAAAATCTGTCTGTAGAATGTGTCCTGCTGAAGGCTAGCAATGTCTACGTTTATCGACCAGAAACAACAGATGTCAGGAAAGTGCAAGTGGCAAGCCTGCACGCTGCATTTGTGGTAGGATCTGCTTTTGCATGAGCAGCGTGAGCCGGCTGTGCCTGCCCGGTCCTGCCCTAGGAAGTGGGAGCGCAAAGGAGTCAGGCTGGAGTTTGTGGGGTTGTAAACCGGGTCATAGGGAAGTCCAGTGAGACCGTGGGGGAAGCCGCTCAAAATTATTGAATAGGATGATTCACACAAATGTAGGTCCTAATTCTAAAAGCTGTTGGGATGGAGATGTTTTGTAAGAGATGAGGAAAACGCAGCGACCAGACACACCTACTTCCATAGCCTACTGCCAGTCTTAGATGAACTGAGCTGCTCTGCCCTGAACTTTGAAACCACCTTGGTCAAAACCAGGCGATATTTCTTATCTCCAAAGATATTTGAAATCATTCGTGTGATTTTCCCTTTCAATCAGGTCACGTTCAACCTCCCCCTCCTCAAAATGTTACGCTACTGTCAAAAGATTTTGACATGATTTTGACGTGGACCCCAGGAGAAGGCTCTCCGCCAGATGTGACATACACTGTGAGGTATGAAAGGTAAGTGCTTACACAGGATGTCTGAAAGTATGGTGCAAGGCAAACATCTCTGTGTGTGTATTAAACAGCGTCATTATGATCAGTGACCCGGCCGCATCCTTTCACCACAACCCATCTTTATCTGTCTGGAAAGCGCTCCAAATTCTGAGCAAGATTTGGTACCCATCCTCTAAAACACTTCCTTCTCTTGCTCCATAAATGATAACAAAGCAGCGTGTTTAATATTATGGCGTGCTTCTTTCTTCTTTCAGCCAGGAACACATGGACAAATGGATAAAGGTTCCTCACTGCAAAGATATTCACAGAACCTCTTGCAACCTGACTTGCGTGCTTCCAAACTTATTTGTTAAAGTCCGGGCTCAAGTAAAAGCTGTTTCTGGACAATTCCAGTCACCGTGGGTAGAATCACAATCCAAGGAATATCATTTGGATGGTAAGTGTCTGCTAGGTTACAGCCTGGATGAAAGGACATCCCAACAACAGCGTTGGCATGAGCAGACGCATAGAGCACAGACCACAGGAACAGTAACAAGTAACTTTATGGATGACAAGGGATTTGAGGGAGCACAAACAACAAGGAGCCATGACCATTTGAAAACGAGTTTTGTAGCAGCTGTGTAGAATTTGTTCATCAGTGCTCTCGGTGAACAAACTGGCTTCAAGCTTTCCACATAGCAGCAGGGGTATGTGAGATAAAAAAGAGGTATTCCTTTGCCTTCTTCCTCCCTTCACGTCTATCGCGGGATAACAGAAGCGTAGGTCAGTCGCAGAGAGGCATTACTTCTGTGAAGCTAAGACACGAGCAAGCACTATTCTTACGTCTGGTCCCTCAATTACAGTGGAACTGGCTCCCCCACTGCTAAACGTGGACGTCAAGGAGAACTTAATCCAGGTGAATGCCTCCTTCCCTTTGGCCACCTGTGTGGAGAGTTTGCTTTGGATGTATGACTTGAACCTTTGGGAAGCTGGATCTGAGGACAAGGTCAGTAAAAGTGGCACTTCTTAGGTGAAACGGAGGAACGATGCCCAGCTTGAATTGAAATAGCTTCACATTTCTGGGCAGGGAGGGACTGGATCCAGAGCCTGGAGAAAATGAAATGGCCAGAGTTAAACTAAAGTCAGAGAAAAAAAAGTAGATGTGTGTGTGTGCATCCTTATTTTATTGGTAGTCCCCTGGTTTTGTCAGGAAGATGTAATGGGGAGGTGACACTATAGTCAGTATAACGGGGCAATATCTGAGGTTTTAAAGAACTAGTTCAGGAACTGCCAACAGCATGCTGCGGCAGAACAGAGCACAGCACCGGCTGGAAATCCCACCCTAATATCCATAAGCCCTAGGAGAGATGCTTACTACAAAGAGCAAGCAAGGGATGAAGCGCCTCTCCACGCACCTTCCAACCACTGGAGCCACACGACATGATGAAGAAAACCACGGGCTAAAAAGGTAGAGAAAATAATGAAACCCAAATAATGAAAGCATTGTCTTTCCCACCCTCTGTTCTTTTTGTTTCTAAACAGAAGCAGTACGAACACATCCTTAGGAAGACATCAGTGACTATCGATACCACTGCACTCAGAGGCAACTACTGCTTAAGTGCCAGATCTTCCTTCCTAAACATTGGCTTCAAGTACAGCAAATTCTCCCAACCCATTTGCGTGCTATTAAACCACAAAGGTATGGCCCTGGTGGGAAAAGGATGTAGTGAGGCGTCAAACAGGATTAGGGCAAGTCAAAGATTTCCACCAAAACTAGCTTTTCAACAACAACAACAAAAAAAATGGGCTTCCTGTTATAGGGACTGGGTGGACTCGTGAAAAGTTCCTGGTTCCTGTAGAAACATTTTCATTTAAAAAAAAAATCCAACCTTGAAATACTTTTCTGAAAATCCTGAAATATTATACTCGAGTTATGCTTACAATGACATTTGGGGAATATTCTAATTTATGCTGAAAAATATGTGGATAAAGCCTCGGGTTTTTTACCTGCTCCAAGCAAGGCACTGGCTGGTACGAACATTCATTTGTGGATGTGACTCTGACTTAGAGTCTGATCTTAGGCAAGCCCCTTATCCTTTCTCTGCATTTGTAAAATACGGATCTTAAGCCTAACATGTGCTGAGATTTCTGAACGAAAAGATAAGAGCCCATTATTACTATAAAATACGCCAACAGCGGAAGATTATTTTTGTCTTTTTCAGGGGTGGAATGGAAGCTCCCACCTTCTGCCATGATCCCTGTGTTTGTCCTCCCCATCCTTCTGACAAGTGCTTTCATCATCTGTTTGCTGAAACAAGATGCTAAGCGAAAGAAGATGCCTCATGCTCTGGTATGGCCCAAATGCTGGCGTCCCCTCCTGACTCAAAGTCTTGCTGATTTTCAGAGGGTAACTGGGGGGGAGTGTTGCATTCATAAGTCCCATTATAAGTTTTCCTACATCCAAACTTTTCTTTAAAAACCATCAGCAGATCTGCATGTCATGTTTCTTTTCCCTTATAGGATCTTTCTCATTTAAAAGCTGCTGGACCAGCCCTTCACTGTGAGCTCAGTGAGAAGGAATTTTTCAGGGACTATCTTATCTGCACAGAGAAGCCAGTGTCACAAAGGAAGACAAACAAAGCCTTAGCAGGAAACAAAGGACCATGGATGGCTTCTTTCCCTTCATCATCATCATCATCATCAGAAGAAGAAGAGGACAGCAGTACTTTCATCCCATACACTGAAATGCTTAAGTTTCCAAAGAAACTTCTCAACTGCCAGCCATTCAGAACAGCTCAGGAAGAAACTAGTTTGGACTCTGGATCTGGAGGTCTCTCTGTGGATAGTGAATCTGTGCCTGACCTAAGTACCTTGGGTTTCTCTTTCTTTCCAATGACAAAGAATGAGGTGGACATCTCAGGACCCCAAAGACATGAGAAGGCATCCCTTTCTCGAAGTTTCTCTTCGGGAAGAATATCCCTCCCTGATGTGAGATTGCCAGGCCCCAGGGAGCAGGGACAGCGTGATGCAGACGGGGATGAATGCCTGGAAATGATCCCTCTTCAACCACTGACGGAGGGCGGCTGTGCCAGACTTCCAGCCAATGAGCACTACCTGCATAGGAAGGCTCAGCGCTTCACCAAGTGTTACCAGAGACCAGCAGCTGATCCAGATGTCCAGCTCGGTGAGGGATCCCAGCTCGGTGAGGGATCCCAGCTCGGTGAGGATCCCAGCACTGAGCTCCTCGTTTCCTTTCAAACGTTACAGGTGGCAGAAGATGAAGGGATTGCAAGTGATTGTGACAGCAGTAATTTCACAGAAGGAACACCTCCCGCATCCACGGTGCTAAGCGACACGTTTGAAATTTCAAGTACAGAGGAAAAATATGATCAGAAGTTTAAAAGCAAGGGCTATGAGCACACACATTACATGGGAAGGAGGTAGAGCACCCTAGCAATTCTAGGGCAAGGATACCTTAGCAAGAACGCGGTGCGTTTTGCATTTATTCACCTAGACAGGTTTTTTTCTACTGCTGTCTGTCCTGTCAAGTCATACGGCTTTAGGGATACGAAAGGTGTATTTTTACAGCCGAGTAACCAACGTACGTTCACCATCCCTGTGGACAGGGGCAGCCTGACAAGGTGCTAAGGCTCTGGTATGAGGCACGCTGTTAGATCGCGGGTGGCCAGGGGCGAGGCTTGCCGTGACTCCTCACACAGGTATTGCACAGCAAACACGCAGTGCCCTGTGTTCACGTGAGACTTTGGAGCAGGGTAGCTTTTACGCCTCAGTAATGAAAGGCAAAACCACCTCTGAGGCAGCAAAACCACAACCGGGACCTGTGTGAAACCGTCAGCTGGGTTCTGCAAACGCGGCCGTTGTGCCTGTGCGTTGATTTTGAGCCGGGATGAACTGCTAACGTTGTATTTGCTTTTCCGTAACTGCAAAACTGCACCCCTGCTTGACCAGAAGGACTTAAAGAGACATTTAACAACCTTGGCTTTTTGTGGGGTGGAGAGATCTCCAGCTCAATCTGCAGAGATCACCTGGGTTTCACGGGGTGAACTGAAGTCAAAGTGATGAAGGTGCAGCATGTTTGTTAACTTTTTTTATACAACCGTACTTACCGAAGCTGAAATTTCTCCTGCTGTGCAGAATGTCTGAGAGCTGCTTTATGCAGAGGCAATAATATTTTGATATATATAACGCCGTGTGTGTGTGTTTTTATGTTTCCTAGAACTGCAGAGCTCATCCTGAAAACCATTCCACTTTACCACAGGACCCCATCACGGGCTTCCTAAAGCTTTGGTTTGAGGAATCCTGTGAGACTTCCCAGCCAGGTCACTCTGGGTCACCGAAAGCCCAGGACTGTGACCATTTCTCTGAGCAAAGAATCAAATCAGAAGTCCACCAGCAAAAGGCAGAGGAGACACAAGGCCTCTCTTGACTGGGCAATACTGAGCTTTTCAGTGTATTTTTATTTTGAGCTCTTCGCATCTCACAGAAATACTCTCCCATTTTATACCAGTAAGAGGACATGCAGAAGAGCAAAGTGTTAAAAGAAAGAGGGAGACACATAACACCCATTCTCTGCATTCAGAGAGTTGTTTCAGATGCAGGAAGGTTGTCAGTGAGGGTCTTAAAGCTGACATCTTCAGAGAATCAAGAGAACAAGATTAGAAAGAGGTAGGGGGTGATAGGAGGGGTTGGGAACTGCTTTGGAAGAGAAATGCAAGATGGACTAAATAAGGTCCTGAATTAAAGTTAAAAGGAGAGGTGGGAGAAAAGATTCATCAACCGTATGATTTTTTTCTTACCTGTCCTCCACAAAGTGTCCTTAGGTGTGTTCTGCACTGTAATCCCTCTGGTTCATTTAGAAAGATATAGATCATCCAAATATAATCACCACCCGTTTTCTTGTGCAATCAAGGAAAAACCCTGGGCTTTGAGTTACAGGAAGCTCTGAAGTTGTGTAACCTCTACATTTTGACATGTCACAGCTCTGCAAACAGGGCCTGGGATCTGTTCTTTTGTCTTGTCCATATGGAAGCTGGAGGAAAGGCTACAGGCCAGTTGAGCTCTACTGGTGGAGCCAGCATCCCACTCCTCCATGTTTTCCTTCACTGGGGCTTGAGACCTGCCTTCCTCTCCAAAGGGGTCACAGGGCTCCCTCTTCCACAGCAATCCATCCCTATCTTACACCTCAGTTAACAGCTGTAGCTGTGCAGTGAGAAAGCAGCCCTCCCCTCTCATTGGAAGAGGTATGATCCATTCAACCAAAAAAAACAGACAATTCTCCTCTACTGGTTAAGTGCAAGAGCTGGAATCAAACCTCCTACATCCCTGGATCAGCAGTCGTGAGGGTTCACAGGGTGGGACTGTGAGTCACCAGCCTCACCGAGGGGTTCTGCAGCCCGAGCCCTGCAGCAGCTCAGAGGAGATGGTCTGTCCGGCCTTAATCTACTCCCTTCATAAATCTCTGGCACGCATGATTTTTCCCCTCTTTCCAAAGCCGGGCCAAGTTATCCACAGAGTTCCACGGAAAGTCTGTATTACAAACCTCTCAGTCTGTTTTCATCCTTAGGAACGACCTTCTGACACAGGCTCAGGCTCTACAGTTTGCCAAGTGTTTAATTTTAAACATGGAACTAGGCTTTCGGCGACCTTCGGGCACCTAAAAATTCAGAGCTATTCAAAAGGTAACATCTCTCTAGAAAAAAGGGCAGAAATAAAGTTTTAAGTTATATCCTCAAAACTAAAGTCTCAGGTGTGCTACAGTTTCCCTCATCTCTGTCCTCACACAGCAGAAGCGTGAGGCAGTGACGTGAGGGAGGAAAAAAAAATGGAAACACCCTACCGTAGAGTTATACTTAGTAAGATGTAGGCCGTGCTGGTAGATAGGTGTGTCTTGTTTAATAAACCTGGGAGGCTTCTGCATTTGTCCGAGTGAGATGAGAAAGCCAAACTGCCAGCTAGGCATCCGTGGCACGGTTTGAAGCCTACAGCCCCGTTACAGCAGGGCAAGGAATAGAAACAACTTCAGGAAGGGAAAATCCATGAGATGAAGAGGTGAGCAGAAAAGGGTACTAATTCCTGTCACGTTTGGCCACAAGGATAGAACAGTGAAAGCAGTGTGCTTTCAGTTTCGGAAGCACACATGGAATGTATTTTGATTAAACTGTCTCCAGCTGTGATGTTGCTTATGGGACTCACTTGTAAGAAGAAAAAAAATCTAGCATTTGGGAGCTTTACATAGACTTTGGACAATATAAGAGCACTGCTCACAACTAATGCAGTTGTCCTGTGTGGTTTAGGGTAGATATTTCTGTTAAAGCTTTGCTAGGGCTGAAGCAATCACAGTTTGAACAGTTCTTGGCGCTTAGAAAGACAGCCCAGTTGGTTTTGCTTTGGTGAAACCTCAGCTTTAAGCAACGGTCCAGTTAGTCTTAGGCAGGACTGAGGACTGAGGACAGGACTTCCCCATTTTGTCAACACTTACGACCATGGGATAAAGTAAAGCACGGAAATAAGCCAGGGAGGTTATCCAGTGTGTGTCAAGGGGATAGCTATACTATAAAAATTCAAAGGCAGTGGCTAAGGGAGTTTCCTAAGCCTCAAGTACCGGCTGTATGTGTGAAGCTCCTCTGCTTAGGACATCTTGGGTAAAATAAGTGGCATGCAGCTGTACCAGTTCTTCAGTTGTTATACACATCTGCGGTTCTAAATCCGCAGCTCCTGGAGACAGGTTAGCTTTCACTTCTGACCAGAGAAGGAAATGTCTCTCCCTCTTCTGAGAAAAGCCTGAAAATGTAACTTAACACCCTAAAAAGCTAACGCTATCGAAAAGGAACTATATCTCGGTCAGATTTCACACAAACTCCCAGTTCTTAGCATGTGGCATTCATGATAGTCAGAACTGAGCCTTATCCTGCAAGGAGCCACAAAACCAGACTGCGGGTCTACGGCGGCCTCTGAGAAAAGCAGGTGCCGCCTGGTCGTGCAGAGTCATGGCAGGCTGGAGGAGCTCGTGTTCCCACCCCAGGCCAATACGAACAAGAGAAGAGCTTAAAACCTAGAGATCTGGCTGACTTTAAGAAAATATCCAAAGGTATTTCTTAAGGAAGTAGGTGTCCTGCTTGCAGCACTTATAAAGCCAACTTAGGTACACAACGCCAAGTTTTAATTTCTGGAGTTTTAAGAAGGGAAAGTTACCTGACCAGAAAAGCAAGCCCAAAAACTGAGAAACCTCAGGGAGAACTTTCAGGCAGGAAGCTCTTTATCAGCAAAATGGTATTTGGCTCTCTTTCAAAAGCTGAGGATTTTCTAAGCCACTGCCTTGTGCACCTTTGTACAGCTAGGTGTGTATACGCAGACGGGGAGAGGTGCTCCTGTTGTCACTCCTACACATGCGCACCAGTCTGTAGCTGGGGATCTCGGATCCAAACGCAGGCGGGACAGTAGCTCTGCAGCCTCTTACGGAGCGACGAATCCAACCTGGCCTCACAAACAACAATTTAGCTCTTGTAAAAGGTGATTCACCTCCACGCAGGATCAGCTGCCTGCTCTCCCAGATAGTTATTCATGAAGCGATTTCTGATCGTCTTGGCTGTATTTTCAGTGGTCGGTAAGTCCTGACTTCTCTTTTTCGGTCACCGATAGCGGTTGTTTCTGTTCGATCCTCTATGGGAGGTAGTTCAGTCCTGTTTATTGAGAGAGGAGCTAGAGAATGAGCTGTTGTCTGAGGCTGTTCAAAAGCTCTCTTCTGTGCTGCTCTCTCCTTTTAATATTTGCAAAGTACGGTTGGTGTGCTCAGTGATTTAAGGATTAGTAAGGAGAAGAAGAGATTATCTCACTTCAAAGTGTTTGCCAGTGATGTGTTCGAACCCAAATCCTACGGGAGTGAAGGATATTCACTGACTTCAGGGGGCTTTGGATCAGTGCCCCTCTGTCTTAAGCAGAGTCACAAGCGTTTACAGGAAAAGCCCTGATTGTAAAAGCGGTACGAACAAATCACCTATCCCTAAAATTCATTTAATCCTACTCCAGATGTGGCAAAGTCACTCCTGGGTGAATTAAGGACAAACTTGCTATGTTTTCAAATGCCAGCTTCTCAGCAAGCGAACTTACCATTCATCCCCTCGTGTGTCCGTGATCTCATACCGGAGGGAAGGCACCTTCAGAAACTTCTAAATCAGAGGGACTTTCACACTGCGAACTATCCTGGATTTTCCCTGCCCACACGTGACTGTGCTTGTGTTACGCTGCTTTGCATAACTCTGTTTTAGTACAGATAAATGTGGGAAGATGGAGATTTCCTACTTCAGATACGATCAGGGTATCAGTGACTCATTTTTCCTGGTGCTCAAACCCACTCACTCTGTACCAACTGCTGCACTTCTGTCTCGCCAGGAAAATTGCGCCGAGCCTCGCATGAGCAGAGGCGATTGTTGAACTGCAGATGAGGTCAGGACAAAATTTTGACTAAACTGCAATCTATTTCTGCGGTCCTTCCCTGCCCAAACGCCGTACACAAGACTGAAGGTGTCCTGCTGCCCAATCCCCCCCTGTTCAGCAGGCTAGATTAAACTGCTGACACTCAGCTCTCCTCCGTGGAGTCAGGCGGAGGGAAAGCTTTGAGTGAGGACCCGGGATCTGCTGTGGTTTAGTCCCTGATCTACCACAGCTGCTCAATGGGATCTTGTCCGAGTCACCCCCATTCTGGTCCTCAGTTTTCCCATCTGAAAAATGGTGCTACTTCTACTCGCTTATCACACCATTTTTTCACGGGCAGACTGATTTTGGGTGTCCGTTCACCAGCACCATAATGGGACTGTTCATTTTCAGCAGGTGCGGGCTGAAGCCCCCGCGTGCTCAAGGTGTTTGTCAATACCGCAAAACAAGAGTTGAGTAATGCATAAGTTGTCTGTCTTTGAGGATGTGTCTATAATTCAAATTTACGGCGCTTATGAATGCCGAAGGTTACTGTACAAGTTAGAAGGTCTCGTGAATCAGCCTTGAGAAAATTTTACTCTGCGTGTTCTCGTGACAGGAGACACAAGGACACTCTTCCACAGTGCCTGCTCGGAGCCAGTTTGCTGCAGGTGGACCGTGGTGGCATTCTGCTCTACAGAGGCCGCTCAGACCAGGGGCTTGTTTGTGAGGGGCAAGTGACATCTCTGCTTACCAAAGCCCAAACCCATCCTCCGTGGGGAGGAGGCGCAGGACTCAGAAAGCAGGGAGCTGAGTTGTTTGCCTTCACCCTGGCGCACCCAGATCAGAGTCCAGGCATCAGGTCTTCGCGTGTTGTTCTGCACCGGCAGTCCCCGTCCAATAACACACGGGGCACGAGAGGTTAATAGCAGTCACATCTCCAACATTGTGAAACTCATCTCGGCACATTGCCTCCCCGAGAATGGGCAGAAAGCGGAGATGTTCACAGACATGAACCTAGCATTGAAAACAGGTCGTCGGTCACAGCTTTCCTGTCATTTAACAGCTTTAAACGAAACCGATAGGGAACTCAGGGATTCTCTTGAGTTTTTGAGGCCTGTCTGTAAGAACTCCTGACGTTTCTTTGTGATGAGTCAACACTCTGCAAGGTGTGTATGGCGATGTCTGCACACTTTGAATTCCTGCTCTGTTCAAGCTTCTGCTCTGCCGCCCCTCTCTAGCAAACTGGAAGTGGCGTGCCTGGTTATTTCTGTTCCCTAACAGGCTGAGCAGCATTGGACCCTTATTTATCTGAGGGCCGAGATGCCAGAATATGCATTTTAATACTAGGTTTTTTTGCTCCCCTAGGCATTGCGACTACCCAGAAGTCATCATGTCTGAAACGTGCAACATTTTCTTCTACAAACTTTGAGAATATCCTGACATGGGAAACTGAAGCAGATATTCCTCCTGGCACTGTATTTGACGTCCAATATAAACAGTACGTAAAGTTTGCTTCTCTGTGGGGTTCTGTTGTTCTTAGGGCCAGTGTCCTCAGAGAGAGAAGAGCCAAGAAAAAAAAAAAAAAAAGTAGATTCTGCTGTTTCTGCTGCTTGTGTTACTGTTAGGGAAATGGTTTTGCTTAGACAAGAACTCAGTAAAGGACAGCGTTATTTAAACTGGTAGATGCTGCTCAGTTAAGTAAATCCTTTTACATCTTGGGTTGCCAGCTTTACGCGGAGCTACTTTTACTTTGCTACTCTGTTTTCAGCAACTTCTCTCTATTCTGCAATTTCTTCACCTGTAAATACAGGTAAAAGCAATTGTCTTCCTCTGGTTCAGTCACTAGCGCTAAAAGAAATCAGACCAGTGCTACGCAACAGCTTTGTTGCCTTTGGGTAAGTCTGCAAACTGCAGCAAAGGTGCATGCCATCCTGTGGTGTCACGGCCGGGCAGAGAACCCCGCAGTCACCAGCTCACGGGACACTCCTGTGCGTGCCCTGAAATTTCCTCAGAGGGATTCCCACGCACAAGCCACAAACGGGAACAGATCAATGGCTGTAGTCCAGAGGAAGTTTCTCTGCCGTTCCATCCCCTGCTACTTCCTAACTGCAATAATTAATTTAAAAACTACTGAGAGTTGGCAAAACAGCCTGTTTGGATCGTCCTGGAGAAGGGTTTTATTGCATCTGTTCTACCAAACAGACTAAAAGGGCTTTTTTTTGGTTTTTTTTTTTTTTTGTCCTAAGGTATGGAGAAAAATCCTGGCTTAACAAGCGTGAGTGCCAGAGTATCACACAACTTTTCTGCAATCTCACTCATGAAACAGAAAACTTCATGGAGCATTACTACGCCAGGGTGAGGGCCACTGGCCAGAACTACTGCTCCTCCAACTGGGTGCGCTCAGAAAGATTTGAACCCAGGAAAGAGAGTACGTACCGCTGCTGAAGTCTATTAAATCTTGGATGCTAGGGATCCGTTTCAAGTCTCGCTGATGTTTACGACAGCATTTCCTCTAATTTCAAGGGAGTGAAGGCCTGAAGAGGGCTTGTTATTGGGCAAGGAGGAAAATGAGCAAATAGGCAGAACCTTCCCGGAGGTCTGACACCAAAGTGGGATGAGAGGAGAAAGGGAAAAGCCAGACGTCCTTAAAGGAGGAACTGCTACGAAGGCTGACCAGAGGCAGAAGGAAACTAAGAGACAGGATGGGCAGCCTGAGGACAGCCAGTGTGTGAAATGTGAACTCCTGAAAGTCAGGCTAAGCAGCCAGACCAGTGGATACGTAATGTTCCCAACCCCTAAGTGAGCTCCACCACAGACATACAACACAGCCTGTGGGAGCCCTATTGGCTCTGTGACTAAAATATTTCCCACTGAATATTTGTCAAGAATCCTTTGAGGTGGCATTTAGCAGCCAGTGATTACGAAGAGCCTTCAGGTCTTCACACAAAATAAAGTGTGAAAGAGCCGTAGGTCACTTTGATCCTTAAACTTTCACTTTTCAGTGCAGCATTAGCACCCACAGTGATGATCTTATCCCCTAGAGCCATTCCTTTCCGTTTGATGCTTTCAAGCCACGTGGCCTTGGAGGGATATTGAATGCTGCTTCTAAATATGCTGTTGCAGATTGGGTTAAACCTCTGATTAAGCGTTGGGTGTAGCATGTGCCTTTCACTGAAGATAAGTGTAGATACAAAAGAGCTGTACTACTCCAAAGACACAATCCGATGTAGGATGGGAATAGCAACTTAGGTAGCAGCTAACTGAGAGCCCTGTGGCGGGATTTCACACTCATCCCACCCGCACGAAGGAGGATGTCCCTGTGCGGGACAGGGAAGCAGCATGGAAGCATGGTCCTAAGGAAAAGTTGGGGCAAGAATTTCTAAGGACAAACACTGGCGGAAGGCTACTCAGTGCTTGCATCTCTAAATCCAGACAGAAAAGAATTGCGAGGAGATGATCTAATATGGCTCTATTCTCCTCAGCCGACATGCTACATATTTCTGCGAGTAAATCTCTCTCAATCACAAATGAACTTTTGTAAATAAGTTATAATTTTTAGTTCACAGTCACGCTTTTAGTTTTGTTAAAAGTCACTTACGTTGTTAAGCCCCCTGTGTAATTTTAATATTGACTGTAATACACTCTCATGTCTCAAGTTGGATAGTAGGATGGGAATGCCGCAACATTACGTGTGAGCCAACTGAAATCCGAACTTCTAAACTGGCCTAAAAACCTTTAATGAGACAATTTCAACCGATTTTGACAAAAGGTGGACGGGCCACCTTTACTTAACCCGGAAAAGAAACATATCTTTGTATATGTGTTGGATAAATAGCAGAGCCCTGAGGGAAGACAGTATCTCCGACTGCCTGACTTTTCCTAAATCTCAGTGAAATACAGCTCCTACACCTTTTTGTATATAAACAGAAGTAATAATTTACAGTGAGCCTGGAGTGTGTAAGATGTGTGTAAGATGATGTCATGCTTTAACCTTAACAGCTGACACTGCCTGTTCTACCTTTTCCAGCCGTTATTGGAGCACCAGAAGTGGAGTACATTCCTTATGTACGGTCCATAAAGTTTCTTATACACCCCCCCTATACTCCACTGAGAGGTGAGGATGACCGCCAGCTAACCATAGAGGACGTTTATAGCAAATTTGGTGCTGTTGATTATCACTTAACAATATTCAACCAAAGGACACACCAAAAGGTAAAAAAAATCACAACCTCTGGCCGCTGACTGATGTCAGTCACATTTTGCATAAGATGGAGAAGGACTTCAGAGGCTATAGGTGATGGATGAAATTCCTGATTTACAAGGGGAAAGTCTCAGTCCTTGACTCTCAGTAGACAAAAAGAACTTTAAGCGTTCCTCTAAAATTCTGGAAAAGAAATGGGTTCCCAAGGGTACCGTATAAATAGCAAAAAAAGTAAAACTGTTGGTGACTAAAAAAAGAAGACTGAATTAGTGCAAGTCTGAAGGAACTGAAATGCCAAAATTAAATACAGTAACAGAAAGCAAATTATATATTTAGAATTGCATATATACAGAATTATTATAGTCCTGTAACACCTTATTAGTAAATAATTTTTTTCTGCTGAATTTTGCAATCTCGTTTGAAGAAAACGTGTGCATTTAATCTTTCTAAAATCCAGACTTTGCCTTTATTTTAAACAGTGGACAAAGAACGAGCACAACAAAGAATTTGAAGTTTCCAACTTGGACCCGGACACTGAATATAATGGAACAATATATATATATCTCCTCCAGAGAAGCAGCAAATCTCAAGTATTTTGGGTGAAAACACTAGCAGGTGAGGCTGTTAACCCTGCTAATGGAAAAGTCCAGGTGGGGCATTGGACACACAAAAGAGACCAATTTTCAGCTGGTGTATCGTAACATAGACGTGCTCAAGATATTGTAGCCACGCTGACTCTCCTCATTTAAAACTCTAGCCCTGTGAGACTAGACCAAACACATAATTTAGCTCATCTCATGCAGTTTTTCTAATCCAGCTCTCTGAAACGACATTTTCCACTTGTTCTCTTCCCCACTAACCAGACAACACGTGGCTCCTCTACTGTTTCGTGGCGCTCGCGTTCTGTGCCGGACTGGTGTTTGCTGCCATTAGTTATGTCATCTACAAATACGTCAAGCAACACGGTGCCCAGCCTATGTCTTTGGTAAGTCTTCTTAAGCCATTGCAGCAGGTTTTTAGAACGGGGGACTGTGTGCGTGCGCTTAAATAACGTCACTAATTGGGGAGGATGAAGGGGCAGACAGGAGCGCTGTTTAGGCAGTCACTGCAGGCTACTGGTGGGTGCTCAGCCCTTCCCCCAGACTGGCCCGTTAAAGGAGGTATCGGGTGAGGCAGCTAAAGCCTGAGGATCCTAAATCACTAGTTCCTCTTGAAACCCTGGGCCTTCTTACCTATCCTTCATCCCCTGTACCAAGCATGAGTTCTGCATGCTAACTGAGCTTAAGGGCAATCTATTTCCATGCTCCAGGGTTCAGGCTAAATTTTGCAAAAATCAAAGCAGGATTTTTTATTTTTTTTTTTTTTTTCTTCCGCATATTTTAGGATTGCACAATCGCCCTGATGCATGATGAGAGATGTCTGTTCCTCTGAAGGGTCATTCCCCAGAAAAAAAAAACAAACCAACAGAGTTCTTTTGTCAACAGAGGATATCCCTCTGGTTGTTACTGGATTTTACTAATGTATTTCCAAAGAAAAATTTAAAGAATCTAAAGCAAACCTCCAAAGTCACAGCTTCTTGTTAATATGTTTTTTCTATCTACTTCAACAGGACTTCAGAGGGATTTCGTCATTCCAGCCTCTTACGCTGACAGTGGAGCATATTATAAAGCCCATTAATTTATCCAAACCTTCACCTCTCATCCCTGACGTGCAGTTACCACAGATCAGCCAATACTTGCACAGAGCCCTGGAACCACCGTGGCCTTTCTGTCCACCAGAAGCTGCCTATCAGCAACAGGTGGATGTCCCAACGTTCCGGCTGCCCACTCAGCCACCCTGCTTGGCCAGCACGGCTCCTGCTGGTTATGCTCCTCAGGCAGCTGAGCCAAGTGTTCCTACTGCCCCGGCCAGCAACGTTCTGCCCCTAACCTACGGCATGTGTGTCGAAGGCACAGACCATGTTGACAAGAAGGGTTTGCAGCCAAGCCAAATGCTAAAGGAAGTTTCTCCAGATAGTTTTGTCGGTGGAAAGCTCCTAACCCAGACGCTGGGCAAGAGCTGCAGCTGTTGGAATTACAAAGAACAGAGGCCGAACTTGGCACCGTGGGACAGCAGCGACACAAGAGAGTCGGGTCTCTCACAGGGGAGCCCTGGGCAAACACCACATCTGCTGCTGCAGACTGATGGGGTGGGAAGTAGAGTACACGTGTCCCAGCTGTCACTGTCTTTGCTGGAACAAGAAGGATGCTATAGGCGGCAGACAGCAGAACTGCCACCGTTATTGTCTTCCGTGAAAGTTGACACAGACTCTGTTGCAGAGGATGAATCGCTGCCACCTCTACCAGCGACCCTCCTTTTCTCAGTCAGCACTGGTAACAGCTTCCCTGGAGAGAACGTCACAGAGGGGTGGATGTTGCCAGATTCATTCTCACAGTCTGTAAATAAACTGCAGCTCCCAGAGACTCAGGGAACAGAAACGTTAACAGCAGCAGAAAACAGCTGCACAAAACTGAGTAACGGTGTGTCCCAAGACACAACCTCAGACCCGGACAGTGGCACTCCTCTCACTCTGCTGTTCAAAGATTTGGACTTAAAAGTACTGTGGCACCAGGATGAAGACACAGAATGTTATTAGGCAGACTTAATGATGTTGAAATCCAAGTTAAGTTTGCTTGCATGAAATAGTAGCCTACCCTGCAAACGGCGCAATGTAAATAAACACAGCTAACCTCGGATGCGCTCACACGGCACAGCGTTGTCAGAGCGTTCCCACCGTTGTTGCATCGTGGAGATAGGGACCGGTACTGATATAATTAATTCTTGGTACACTGCAATACTGTATCTTTGCATTTAAATAACAGGCCTTTACATTTCTTGCATATCCTTCATTAGTTATTATGAATTGGACTACTTTAAAAGGTGAGTTATGTTTAAAGTTCAAATTCCAGATTTCAGTTTACTGAAAATTGAGCAAAATTCACTACAGAAACGGTATTTGCTCTTTACCAACACCAAAGATCCGGGTCCGCAGTATGTCCACCCTTTGAAGAAATTCAGGTGCAGATGCATGCAAACCTAAAAAAAAAAATTCAATGTATTGTGCAACAGTAAAAGGATTAAGTATATCTTGGTGTTTGACCCTTGTATCTATGATTAGTGCAAAAGTAGGCTACTTCCATGCAATGGACTTTGCCTTTAAAACCGTCATTGAAACCGTGGTAATAGCTCCTGATGCAGCAGTTCTGTGAAACTACATGTGCCCCATCCTGCCGTGCTCCTTAATGCTTGTAGAAAGATAAATCCCTTTTCATCTCCGCAACAGATTAATGTAGTCTTGGCCCAGTTCTGACGTACTTCTCAGCTGCTGCCCTTTTCTTTCTCTGAAATAGTCGCGCATTCTCTTCTTCCCTTGAAATCCAACTGGGATCGCGTTCCACCTATGTGGGGATTTACGCTAATCTCAGTTCAACCCTCAATCTCAGTTTAGGCTAATCTCAATTCATGAACTCAGTAAACTTTATGACGGAGACTAGGGAGGTCTTGAGCTGCTTCCTCCCACTCTTTGCTGACGTTATCAATGAGGAACACGCACCATTTGCACAAGAGTCTACAAGACCTCCTCTGCTCCTGTTGCCAGCACATGAACCTCCAGGGCTGGAATGAACCAAGACCAACATAAACTGAGAGCCAGATTCCTTCAGCACTGCACCTTTACCAAAAGCAAGCTAAACGGCGTTTATTCGAGGGATGGAGGAGGCAATTATCTTCCATGAAGAGGAAAGTGTAGTTCAGTGTGTTGATTTCCAGTGGTGTGGTGAAAAAGCGTGTCTGATGACATCAGTTTTAGAGGAGAACTGAAACTGTTTATTGGAATAAGCAAGACTTTGAATGTCGTGGGGAAGTACTCGCTTGAGCACTGCCAGAGACAGGCTGACCAGAAGCAAAACTCAGCGGTTCTCGCCGTGAATGAATTTAGGTGTTTTCTCAGTCCAGGGAAACTGAGGTTAAAGGTTAAATCCCACTTGCTTCAGTGTGATTTTGCAAATAAACTGTAGCCTTATTGAAGCAAAGGGGTTTGATGAGTCAACCCAGGATTAAAGGAATAGTGTCAGAAACTTTACAGGCAAAGGTTCAGCTCCTAACTCCAGCGTCAGTAACGAACAAAGTGCCGTGGCCACGTCATATGAAGCCAAAAGGTCGAAATGCCAGATGTGGTGAAGAGGCGTCACAGCACAGGGTGTGAAAGGTCTGAACGTGTGCGTGGTCTGGGCAGCACCCCGGGAGGCCATTTCCACTGGTCCTACCTTTACTTCACACCATTCAGTATCAAAGGGTCTGTGGAATGTCGTTTGGGCCGTTTCGTGTACGCTGTGTCCGAGCCGTACCTTCAAAACCAACACGCGGGGAATCGCTGCAGTCACAGGAGTTGCAGCAGCCCAGCTGTGTTGTTTCCAAGGAGTGTGAGACCCCAGGTGTAACAGTCTGCCCCACTACCTCCCCCCCTGGAGATGCTGCATTTCAAGCGAGTGATGCCAGTTACCTTATTCAGAGTTGCCTGTGGGCTGCATATCTTGTGTCAACAACATTCCCAGTGAGGCTACTCAGGGAATAATCAAATGCCACGATGTCAACATTTGGGCTCATGTTTTGAAACATAATCCTCAGCACGGGGTCGGTATGGGCAGTGTAGTGTGGAAGGGAGTCTCAGGAGAGCATTTGAAGATGCTGCTAAAAAGTACATTTCCCATTTAACACCCTTTTCAAATTCCCCTGCAGACCCCCTGCCACAGGGTCTGATCTTGTCCAGCCCTTAATAAATGTATCATCTTGGTTCCCCAGAAGGAGAGATGGGAAACTGAGGCACGGAAAGCCTAGACCAGATCTCTAGAACGTGTGTTGGTGCCTAGAGATGCAAAGTGTCCCGTGGCTGGGATGTTGGCCTCTTCTCCAGGCACCTACATACCTTGAAAGCTACATTCCCTCTGACTGCACACATAGTAGGAATGATCCTGAAGACTTACAACTGAGCTACTACACCATCCTATCCCCGTCTGTTCTACTCCTAACAGCAGAAACTGTAATAAACGGGGAACACAGTCAAGAGAGAGACTCTGTAAGCCACGTCTGATGGAGGTGATTGACAGCAGTAGGCTCAAGTTCGTGCTCTGATCACGGCTAAGTCAGTATTTACCTTTTGGGCCTTGACACACGAACAGGAGGAGATCAGTTCTTGTCTCATGAGTCACCTCTTAAATTTGACAGGAAGATCATCCCTTCTAAAACTATTTCTCTTTGGAAAAGCTTGAAAACAGATGTTGACACTACTGAGCTTTGTTGTAGCTGTGCAAGCGAAGTGCTCGTCCATCCCCCACCGACACGCGCTGACCTTACTGCCTTCTGCTTCGTTGCTTCTCAAAATCAGATTGATAGCCCTGTTTGCTTCAAAATGCATCACAGCAAGCAGCGACAGCAGGATCTAAGGATCTCATTCTCATCCTGTGTAAGGACGTTTCCAGAGGAACAGCAGGATTTCAACATTGTGTCAAAGGTCTTCCCATGCAAGCCATCTGTATCTAACAGCAGCCTGTTCCTCATTTATCTTGGCTTTTCCAGATAACAGTTTTGATAGCTCTAGATAATAAAAAACTCGAAGTGCCTTGCCACAAAGACTGTGCTTATTCCTTGACAGATGTCACCGCGATGACAGGTGAGCGCTGCAGTTCCAGTTGTCACAAGGATATCGGCATAGCAGGTGGCAGCTGTAACCCTATAGCGAAGTATTACTCTTTGTCTTCTCAACTAAATCTGGGAGCTGTCACTTAGCCACTCCCCACGCCAGCAGCCCCGCTCGCAGCTCACCAGGGATCCTTGCACGGGGATGAACTCACCAGGGATCCTCGCACGGCGATGAACTCACTCACCAGGGATCCTCGCACAGGGATGAACTCACCAGGGATCCTTGCACAAGGATGAACTCACCAGGAATCCTCGCACAGGGATGAACTCACCAGGAATCCTCGCACAGGGATGAACTCACCAGGGATCCTCGCACAGGGATGAATGTGTTGCTGCAGACCGAGGCTCACGTTCTCCCTTGCTATTTCCTTGTCTGTTTGGGCATTGAAAGCTGCCCTGTTTGGAGACCATTAAAAAAATCACTGATGATTTTTTAACAAGTCCTTTAAGGAAAATCTTACTCAAGGCACAAATTAAAAGCTCCAAATTCTGGAAACAGAATGAAGCCTAGTTGAGGGGCAGCTCTGAAAGTATTAGGGACTCTGATAAAATAGACTTTATATCCTAGCTGCGGCCTCACACTGGCCTAACAGTACTGCTCTCAGTCATGGGGAGGCGTGATGCAGCAGAACTGCATGAAAAGAACTTGCACGGCAGCTGGATCACAGTGCTAACCAGTGGCCATACCCTTGCTGGTTCGGAGGACTTCAAATGCCCTTGTATAGCTTCTCTCCTCTCAGGCTGAGATAACGAGAGCTGTGAGACATGATTTTAAGAAATTTTCTAAGAAAAAGGTGGAAAAAGTGGTCAAAGATTTGAAACAGCATCGATATGAGGAGAGCAAAAGTTAAAGCTCTTCTCCTTAAAACACACAACGGAGGGTTCATACGACAAAGGTGAATGAACTTGTTAATATCAAGCAGAACAGATGATAATTACTCATTACTTCTCATAATACAAAATTCAGGATTCAAGCGGTTATGCAACTGTTCAAAACCAATGAAAGAGAAGTGTTCCCTCGCTTTGACAGCTCAGCTTGTACCAGAACGCATTCAGTCCTGCCTGCCCAGCAGTACCCGTTCATTGCTTTCTTAAGAATGTCTCAAACACAAACACTAAACAGACTTCACGCACACAAGTCCTTGTAGTTCTCGTGCTGATCCTACTGGAGTTCTACCTTTGGTTTATTTGGATGGTGGAACACAGAAAGGTTCTTGGAAATGGATCCTACCGATATGGTGAGGGTGACTCAAGCTGTCCCAGAGCTGGTGGTGGAATTCACTTCCACACGGCCCTGTGGAGGGCAGAACCAGTGTTCACACAGGAATTGGGCAGTTTAACAGGGACGGGACTGTTAGCAGGAACTAAGCATTGTGTCCAGCTCAGGAAAAGCTACAGGCCACTCCCGAGAGACAGGACACTGGGCTGCACAGACCTTTAGCTTCCCCCAGTATGGCAACCTTACGTTCTTACATACCCCCTCTACAGAGTTCCAGCGGCTCTGAGAAGCCGCTATTGATGCATCGACTCCTCAACTCATAGGATGTAGCTGGAAAACATCTGCCTCACAAACTGCTATTGCAGCCTCAGAGCTTCACTACTTTCAAAGCTTCATTTCCCCTTTTGTCACCACAAAAAATATCACCTGCTTCTCACACTGCCGGGAAGGGTTGATCCTGAACGCTGAAACTGCAAGTCTATCTCAAAGAAATGGAAATCCAGCAGTCTCTGTTTTTTTTACCCTACCCCAGACTCTTCGATACCACCATGGGCAGCTGGAAATGTCAGCTCCTCTGCTGTTGTGGCAGGAAGCCTTCGCTTGCCTGTAATAAAGAAAGTATAATAGTCTCAGCCAACCAAAATATAAGAACTGCTGTTAGCTCCCGATCTAATTATACACTGACATAATTTGGCTGGAGTTGCCATTCACTAAAGAGACGTCACCGTAAGCGATTTCACTCCATTATGCAGCAACGGCAACGTTAACCCCAGGGAAATTCCTGGAAGAGATGAAAACATTCATAACTCATTTTCGATGCTTTGTGAGCTTCTAT